GACCTTCACCTCCCTCGCGTTGAGCCGTGCCGCTCCAACAACTTCTACCGAGAAAAATGCCATTCCTTATCCTCGTGCGTCTTTGTGCTAAATCAAACAGCCGGGCTCTCGTGATTTCAAGGGAGTTTCATCGTATCCGTTGGTTGAAATTAAGCTGAGGCGTTAGACTGCAGATATTCCGACAACGAAACTGCGCCGCGCCTCACGAGACACGCACCTTTTGAAAATTTTTTTTTCTCACCATAACAACATTTATACGTCTATCAGACATTGGATTTACTCAGAGTTTTATTCTAGTAAAACTAACGTTTTCATCCTCATTGCCTTTCGTTCGATTATCAAGCCCTACGAACTTGATGAACTCTATTATATAGTTGAGATATGTTACACTGATTAGACAATATCGATAAACTCATTTATCAAAATTCCCACAAAAACATAAATATCCAATTCATAGATATTTATAATCACTGCTTCAACTTTTCAAATAAATATTCCACAACTTTGTCTTTATCTCTTAAGAGACAAATAAATAAGAATTTTCATCTCAACTCACGGACAAATATCAAGTTGCATAAATTTATTTATCAAGTCTTTAATTTATTAAGTGTATAATAAATTATTTATTCGATACTTAATTAATGCTTAACCATTACTCATATATTGTACTGTTTTCTACTTGGTAACATTATATCGAATTAAATTCATACACAATAAATACTAAGACTAAATTTAAAAGAAAATTTTTAAGTTTTTATGCTTGATAAAAGATTTAAAAAAAAAAAACTATATACGCATACGACTTTGTATTATGTTTTAACTTTTTATTACAAATTATTACGAATTTCATATAGAAATAAATAAACTCTAACGTAAATAAAAGTAAAATACAATATTCTATATATGTACTGTTTTGTTTAAAACAAAATTATTTTTACTCTACCTATGACCCCAGTCTTAAATAGGATTTTAGAAAAATAAATTAAACTGTATTAATTAATGTATCGGTATAAGACTTAAAATTTAATTAAAAAATATACTTTGGTATATTTTTTAGTACGTTAACAATGATGATAATTTGTTATTATCATAATAAAATTGTAATTATTGTCAATCTACTCTTTATTCTGAATAATTATTAATAATTAATAATGATTAATAATAAATAATAATAATATTAAGTAATAGATCTTTTTTTTTTCTAAAATTGATCATTTTTTAGCATAAAAAACATTTAGTACAATTACAAGTATTAATAAGGCTAATCAATAAATAATGATAAAAAATGTTTTCAATAATAATTATTTAGCATTATAAAGACAGGTAACTAATTGAACTTTTATATATATATATATATTATGTTTCAATATGTACTAGTTTTCTATGAATTCGCCGATTTTGAAAGTCAAGATTTAATATTAACATATTTTCAGTAAGTTTTTTAATTATGTTTTAATGATACTTGTTTATTATTTTATAAAAATATATATGTTTAGCTTAAATTAATAAAGAAATGTTAGAGTATTTATTTCCAATGTAAGAATTACATACTCGTATACTGTACTTCACTTAATAAATATTTTTTACATTATATTATTAAAATTACTTTATTTTCGTTAAAATCGCCCACGTTTAAAGAAATTTATAAATTGTTTAATACAGTTAGAAATATATTCTTTCTAAACATAACTATTGAAAAAGTTACAATATTTAATATAACATTTATTACAATAATTAACAACTGTATTAAATACAATTAATTTCTTTTGATAAAATCAATAAATATATGCATTATTTAAAAAAAATTTCATTCATTAATCCATAAAAAAGAAAGTTCATATTTAATTACATTTAAATTCATAATAAATAAGCGGCACATTTTTATATTCAAAGCAAACACATAACTTTCAAATATGTCTAATAAAATAAATGTATTAAAAATAAATATTGGAATAAATTTAAAAAAATTAAAAATAAATTAAAAAATATATTGTAAATAAAAAATTCCGTTTCCCTAATACAACTATAATATCTTTATATATTTATTTTTATGGTTATAAATTATAATGAACACGTCTACTCAAAATAAAATCAGTTAATTTTGATCTTACATATACATAAACATATGTATCACGTATTTTATTTAGGAAATGTATTTTTAAAACTATCAATACATAATATGTTTATGGGCATTAAAGTATATTTATAAAATTTTTCGTTCATTTGCAAGATATGAGAATTAAAGTCAATAAACTAGAGTAATAAATAATAACAGAATAAGTTATGAAATTTTAACGAGTAATATGAAAAGAAATCGTACATGTAATTTAGTAGAAGAATATGCCATATAAAGCAGAGTAAATTTCTTTTGTAGATAAATATATAATTTCTATGTGACTCGACTAGGAGAAATTCTTATCGAACTTGTGGATTAAGTAACTCGTATTACTTATTAAAATAGTTATATATTATTGTAATATTCCTTTAATTGCATTAATTATTGCATTTATTAATAAAATTTCAAAATTATAATTAAAATCATTAATTAATTAGATTTTCAACAGAATGCGCAATAAGGAGAGAAATTATAATTGGAGGATTGACTAAATAAAATAATCGATTTAACTCGTTCAGTTAGTGTGGTTTGTTTATTCGAATTTACAAGACAGAATGCTTGTCTTGTTACGAAAGTGCCGATATTCAATTATTTGAAATATATTTTCAAATTCATGATTCAAGTATCAATATGTATATAATAGTTGTGGAATTCGATTGGAGTACATTGGACTTCCGTCTATAACAAACATAAGAAGTTAATGAATATAAAATAAAAGTTTGAGTGATTAGTGACCAATTGTCTTCGAATGAAAAATAATAATCAAACGACTAGAGAAACGAATCGGACTTATTTTTATTTTCGAAATTAAATTTCAGATTCATGAAATCATGAAAATAATATAAAACTAATACAAAATTATAATCGATAAAATTGCGTTGCACATAAATAAGTCAATTTACGTTGTGTTATCATTTTGAATTATCTCATCAAGCACGTGTTAAAAGAGCTCGAGAAACATGTCATCTGAAATCACACGCTTCAAGAATTGTAGTGAAAGCTGTACGATTGGACGAAGCTTTGCTCAAGTACCGGAAACCTTATTCAACAACATAGCGACTCATCCACGTGCGTTGCAAAGAAGATGTAGTAGGGGAAGAAGAAGAAGAAGAAGAAGAAGAAGAAGAAGTAGAAGAAAAAGTAGAAAAAAAAGAAGAAGAAGATGATGATGATGATGATGATGATGGTCAAGAAGAAGAAAAAGACGATGATGATGATGAAGAAGAGACTAGCCGAATGGTTTTTGTGGCGGGGGTGACAGGAGAGAAGGATAAAACGTAATTGCGCGTATCCGTGTGTGTTTGCGGGCGCGCGCGCGAATTGATGTAGGTGTGTGGTATGAGAAGAGGGGAGGAGCAGAGCCAGCATTGCATGTATCGACCTCGTCAAATCAAGAGATCCTCCGAAAATCCTCCGAGATCTCAAAGTCGCCGTGCTTACGACTTGTCGACAACAAGAATAGTGCACGCGTAAAGAGGAGAAGAGAGTGAGAGTAAGTGTGAGCGTGCGATAAAGAGAGAGAGAGAGAGAGAGAGAGAGAGAGAGAGAGGAGGGGGAGTGAGCAAGAGTGAGGATGAGAGGAAGAGAGCGTATGTGAAAATGATCAATACACCTTGGCTCAGAGCTACTGACTACTACTGCCGTCTACCACCACTGCCACCGTCGACGTTCAGGGTGGCTCGTTGAATCTCTCGACGAGAGGTTGATCGATGCCACCATCCTTCTCTTGTCCCTCTAAATGTCTACTCGTATACATGTATACAGGCGCACATGACGCGTCTCGCATTCGATCGACCAGAAAGCGACTCTCGATTTCTAGTTTATATATGTCCATGGCACCTACCCTATCCTTTTATTCTTTCATTTTTTTCTCTTTCGAGATCGAATTTTCAGCCACTTAACTCACCATTACGTCTATAATAAAGCTCAACAAATTTCTTATTTAATTATTCATGCGCTTTCTGGACTTCTTATGGACTGTCAGCCTTAACACAATTAATTCCGACTTTACACACCTGACCTTACAGGCCGAGGTACGTCGCTTTGACGATGCAGGGCTGAAATTTCGGTCGCGCCACCGTCATTTAACCTATAATAAAATGCCTCAATAATTATTGCGAAGTTTTGTTATGAGAGTGGCTTTGGCTGTCCGTTGGTAACTGGGTGCGCGTCACTTGTAAATTGTAAATTGTAAGCTCGGCCGTCCGATGAGGAAGTAAAGCCGAAGTGCCAAAGTACCAAAGTGCCAGCTAGCCAGCCAGTCAGTTAGCTAACTAGTGCTGGGCGAGGGCGAGCGTTTACGCGGAAGAGGGCGATTCCGCCATTATTAACGGGGACGCTCAGGCGCTTATCGGACTTCCCCTCGGCGCGTGCGGCTCGGCGGCACAGTCGAGGACGCGGTAAAGTGCAAGCGCAGATCCTCGAACGAGGCCGCGCAGAGTATCGGCCGAGGAGGAAAACAAAGCACAGCTCCCACGTCCCGGAATTCTGGCAGCCGTCAGCGTGCGAAGACGACGCTGTCGAGATCGTGGAACGGTGGTGGGAGGGGGAGGGAGAGGGGCAGCGGAGATTGATACGCGAGTGGGGGCGGCAGCGAAAGATGCGTCGTTAGCTGAACGAGGCGTAAATCTCCCCCTCGGCGGTAGTAGTGGGGCGCCCTGGCCTTATCGGGTGGGGGCGGGGTGGGCGCGCGAAAGGGTGCAAGCATTCGCAGGAGCAGCAATATCGATCGAGGCGCCGCGAACCTCTCGCAGTTGCCGTAGAGAACGAACGGTGGCTGGCCGGGTGCGAGCCGTCCTCCTCCCTGTTCTCGCCACTGGTTAAGCTACGAGCGCGTCTTCCTTATCCTTGGCTGGAGCTAGTCCTAGGCGGGTGTACTGTCCACGGGTGACAAGAGAGATATCGTCGCGAGCATCACCGAAGGCAACGAGGCGCGCAAAATCGGACTCGGGCTCGAGCCTATGGAGGTGCCCGCGGAGTGCGGCGCGTCGAGGTCAGCTGGCGTCGGGCCGTCGCGGCGTCGACGGCGTCGCCTCGTAGTGGCTTGAGCGCGCAAGCATGTGCGGTGAGTACGGGGAGCTCGGGGCATCCTCGGCGTCGGCGGCCCGCCGTGAGGAGGCCAATCACGGCCTTAAAAACTGCGCTCCAGCACGGGACCTCAGCACGGAATAAGGATGGAGGACACGGCCACGCGGATGCGCCCCTACCTCGACTGCTGGGACGTGAGTCGCTCTCTTTGATTTGATTATTCGCCAAGCCGAACCGGGGCATTGATTTACTGGGATTTACTTAGGCGAGAGCGACTGAGTAAACCGCTGAGTGACGTGTCGGTTGTAAGCGCGATAGTCTCTCTCGTTTGGAATTTGGAACGCGACGGTACGTTTTGCGAGTGCATTTGAGGCGCGATATAGCCGTCTTTTTCCATCTTAATGTCGCTACTCCAAGTCAGCTGTGCCGCACTCCGTGCCAGTAACGACGGAATTCAATCAAGTGCGTTGCGACTACTACTGATCACAGACTTAAGCACGGTCTGACTAAATCGGCTCTATCTACTTTCGCCCCGCGTCCGTGTAATTTCATCTTGTATTATCACGCGAACTTGACCGTAAGCCGTAAGTCTGCTTTTCGATCATTGCAGAATTCGAGCCAAGTTTGCTATTCCCATTAAATTCGTACTATTTTATGCTCTTGCTGGTAATATCGATTGTGTAGATTGTCGACATTTTCAGTGACGAGCCAACCTCAATATCTGGCATTTCAATTGTCTTCTTCGTTTGTTACATTAAACGGAAACATAATTTCACATATTTTGGCATTACTATTAAAAGAAGTGCACGGAAGAAAAATATGAATAATCAAAGGAGATATATTTATTGCGAGATATTTTAAATTACTTAACTCTTAAAATATATTGAAGTGGTAATTTTTGCAAACGTAAATTACGTTTCTGTTCATCGTAGTAAAAGCAATGTTTTGGCGTAGTATAAGTGTATGCGCCCGCGCATCTGTATATTGTAAATAGTGTTAATGTTTTGAATTATCTATTAGACATTAACATTTACAAGAAATAAATTTAAAAATAAAACGTTCAATTATACATTGTCCCGTAATCGTTTAATATCAGCCTGTTAATTTATTTTCTAATTTATATTCGAAGGGCATTTATTGTTTATTTGTCATTTAGCTAAAAAATTCGAGTTATTACGAAACGCGTTTGTTTTATTATATAAATTACGAAAAATGGCAATTTATAAATACGATGTATGCCTTCAGAAAATATTTAATTGTGCTACTTTAATGAAATCTCTCGATTTTAATAACCACGTAAATACATTCTTTTGATGACAAAATAATAATTTATCGAAGAGTGGGAGATAGTCCGAACGAAGTAATATATTAAAATAATTCAACTGTTTTTTTTTTTTTTTAATCAAATTTCACTAGTGTCTTTCAAATTATATAGTTTTTCTTTCTTTATTGATTTTTGTTGTTGTTCTTTTCTTTTTTTTTTTTTTTTTTTTTTTTTTTTTTTTTTTAACGTTGGATAATATAAATATTTATTAATAACAGTAGTGATCCCAATATTCACCAATCAAATTTTCGATATTTTTATTAAACATTCTTCCGAAATAGATTAATCTGTCTATCATCTGTTACGATGCAGACATTGATAAATTGATTACGAAATACATTAATTGGACGAAAAGTAGTCAAATAAAAGAGAGCAGAGGGTAATATATCAGTAAAGTAAAATGAATTCACCCAGTGTCTGACACATAATAGTTCCGAGCTCAACAGCTTCCAAATAACCTTATAAAAGACCGATAAGGACTGTTATTAAAGTAGAAGTAAAATTCATTAAAAGTCGTTGCCTAAATCAATGGCGAGGCACTTGGCAAAATTTCATCGAATATCTGATAGATGAAATCGAAGATTTTCTCATAACAAAGTAAAAGCGCAATTCAGAAGAACTCTCGTAAGCTTGGGCTTGGGTATTAAGCTCTTGTGGACTTGAGCTTACAATTAGGAACAAGTAGAAGCTCCGCAAAATGTCGCGCAGCACTCATGCGCTCGTGCACTCGTAACACAATAAAAGCTCGGCAAACGAGAAATGGGAAACAAAGGGACAAATCGTAGGAGCTAGCGATTGCGCTGCTTACGTAACGAACGTCCGCCGTCGCCGCAGCTTATCGTCGACGACTCAACGAATGTTACAGAACGAGGACAAGTACTCGGTGGCCAACAGCCAGGCTCCTCTTCAGGGTGGCGAGGAAGAGCATCCAGAGCGCGGCACCTGGTCGGGCAAATTCGACTTTCTTCTCTCGCTCCTTGGCTACAGCGTCGGCCTTGGCAATGTATGGAGGTTTCCGTACCTCTGCTACTCGAATGGTGGTGGTGCCTTTCTCATTCCTTTTACGGTTATGCTTATTATTGCCGGGCTGCCTTTGATGTTTATGGAATTGTCGCTCGGTGAGTTAATACATTCTATTAATTCATTACTATTAATTCAATTACTTATGCCGCGTATTCTTATAATCAGTTTGGTATTCATCCACAATACATCAGTTAAATAATAAATTATTTGCACGGTTTATCCTTCATTCCGTAAGATACCTCAAATTAACAGGTCCAGTTTATACATTTTTATAAAGAAAAAAAAAGCTACATAAATTTCCCTTGACGAGACATTACTAATATATATATATATATATATATATATATAATTATAACGTGTATTCGGCAGTCAAAATTTTTTTTATGAATAAATATTTGCATACATAAATTGATAATAAATATCTTTTCGAATAGTGTAAATTCTACATAAATTAATATCTTGAATAATTAGAAACAATACAGTAATAATTACATGTAATATGTATTAAAGACAAAAACATTTTGACAATGATAAATTACCTTGCGTGTTACTAGTTTGTTAATAAAATATTAAATTTTATCAGATTTAAATTAAATTCTTTTTACAGAAATTTCTCTCATTGAATATTTGTTTTTCGAACGGTTATTTTGCCCGTAGATGAAATGATTTTATTTTAGGTCAGTCTCAACACGAGCCTCAGATTTAAAATTGAATGTACCTAAACGTAAAGCAAAAAGGTAACTTAGCAAGTATATATATATAATAAGAAATATGGATTTGCGTTAAAAAAAATTTGACATTGGTATGTTCGAATGAAACACGCGATCCTTATATTTTGTCTCGTGTGTACAATTTTTCTATTTATATTTCTTTTCTCCTACATTGCGCGCTTATTGCATAATCTCCCAAAGTTAATACTTTCACAAAACTTTGTGAATACACATTCACACATATTACATATTACAAGTAATATGTAATGCGATACCTGACTTAATTGAAAGGAAAGGGATTTAGTATTAAATAGTTAACAATATGTTCAATTGTTTTAACATAACAAACAGCGGTTTGATTTTATTGGCAATATGATTTTAATAGAAAAATAATAGGATTCGATAAATTATTGAAAATGAAGAGATATTATCATTGAATTATCGGAAAACCATAATATTGTAAGTTAAGTTGTTAAATCTTAAATTAGCATATTATACAAAAATATTTGTATAATTCAAGTGAATTGAGAACATAAAGTCGAATATGTTTTTAAATGTCCTTTGTAAGGAGAAATTGAATAATGTTTTGAATAGTTTTACATTAAAATGTTTGTTAAATTGATTTTTTTGTTTAATGGAAGGGTTAAATTATACTCCACTTTTATATTACATTCTATTACGTATAATAATACATAATAGAATATTATTATTGTTAGTAAAATATTATTAAAAAAAAAAAAATATTATATTTTGTTTATGAAGCATTTAAACGTCCTTATTTCATAACGATTCCCTAACAAAAAAAGATAAAGAATAAAACATATTATTAATGTTCAAAAATACGAATGATTGATTAACGGAAAATAAATTAATTTCAAATATATATTGTGCAACAATAGTACATAAAGTGGCAAAAACTATAAAAAAAAAGTGTTTATTATTATTATTTTTAAATTCATTTATAAGAAATTAACGTTAAAATAATAAAGCGCAATAGCTTTCAATGTCAATAATTTCGAAATCCTTCACGCATTTGGCTGATACATTGTAAATACGGGTAGACAGATCCTATGAATTATGCACATTTTTAAAAGTATTTATGTAGTCATGGTAATGAGCTGTGACAGTGTATGATCACGAGCTCGCGGATGCTTTGGACTGTTAAATATTTCGTCGAGGCGTAATTTCAATATGAAAACGTCAGCCTCGTTCGTTTAGCCGCCCTTGTTAATGCGACGGCTTTAAGAAAGTTTGATTGGTCGTAGGTCAGTACGCAAGCCTGGGACCGGTGGCGGCTTATAAAAGATTCTGCCCATTGTTACGTGGACTTGGCTATGGTATGGTGCTCGTCAGTTCTGTTGTCATGCTCTACTACAACCTCATCATCGCGTGGACGCTCTTTTACATGTTCGCTTCGGTCGCAGGTAAGACGATTATTGTTAATTTACTCGATCTACTTGATATCACGTGCTCACACTATATAGCTCTAGGTGACTCTATTAAGTCGGTGGTGAATGTCACGCTACTTAGATTATTATGCGATGATGATATTATTGGTTTATTACTAAAGAGCACACATCTGTGCCACTAAGCGGACCTTGTTGCTTGACATTTTATCGAAGACAGTTCTCTTGATTCAACTAAAGCGTAAATTTACAATAATAAACGTAATGATAGAGTATGCCAAGAAAAATCTTGGCAATCTATTATTCGTAAAGAAATATAATGTAATAATCTTTCCAACACTGTTGCAAAGTATTGTTAAAGCGAATTTAACTTATTACGTATATTTATTACAGATTTTTTTATTTATTATTTTTATTTATATTCTTTCATATTTTGAATACCTGCTTTACGTACATTGAACAAGTTATTTATGAAAGTGCGAATTGATGATATTGAAATCGTATACAATATTTTGAGACGTAGATGAAGGTGGTGGTGAGCCATTACAACGAATCAATGGTAAAACTAGCGATATCTGCACATAATGTATAGTGAGCTGCATTAACGTAATGAGATCAGAAACGAGTAATATTCACGTCCACGATACTTCATCTTATTCATAAAGTTAATTCACGACAAAGTGTTACTTCGTTCTAAATCGAATCATTAATATTAAATTGAAAGACCATTTTATTCAGCTTTATTGGTGAAATAACTTCACGATGCCATAACAAACTCGATGTTAGCCAATAAACGGAATATCAGACATTTTATCTTCGCATCCAGTTCAAAATACAAATAAATATTCCTCAAACTGTATCCAAATAATTTTCTATGCTTTTAAGCGGAGATGCTTCAATTAAAACTATTTAAAATAATATTTCCGCGGTTTTTTGTTTGCGAGATTCTACAATTTTGTAACTAAATATATTTTTAAACGCGAAATAAGATTGAAGATGAGAAATTGGATCAGATATTTTATGATAATCTTGTGCAACATAACAAGTGACACCAGAAAACATTTTCCTGATCCAATAAACAAATCGTAATCTGTTGCGTAAGCCGAGGAATATTCAAAGAGCTGCTCATGGGATTGGGTTGATGCTCGATTCAATAACAAAAAAATGAAAAGCAACTACTTGAACATAATCATTTTCTTGGCATTAGGTACAGTGATGCAACAATTTAAATTTAAACCATAAATTAAAACCATAATATCAGCCAAATTAATAGTATTAAACATGAACAAATTAAGCGAATTGTGTCGTTACGTCATAAACTAATCCAGTTGCTTAAAAATAACAACAGATAAGGTTTTATATATATTTTTCTAAATAAAAATACTGTTTATTTTCTTGATTATTTATCGAATCTAGCTCCTGCTACCATTTTTTTTTTTTTTTCATGAAATAACTAGTATATATATTTATAATTTTGTTGAAAAAAAAAAAATATCTCGAATTCATTGATAAACGATTGATTATATTAATAATTTGTCCATATTAATTACATCCAAAAATGAACCATTATAAATATTTTAGATAAGACAATACAATTTAATTGTTAGAAAAAAATATTTCCATATTTCTTTGTTCATTTATTATTATGTGATTATTTTATTTATTATTATTATTTATTATTATGTTGCAAATGTGAAAATCAAAACAATACAAAAGAAAATTCATCATTATTTATCATAAAGTAAGTTAAATAATATAAATTCATAAATCAAATAATTTTGAATATAAAATTGATTGATTGATCTGAAAAATGTTACTTTATTTATAAATACTGTTTTTTTTTTGTTTTTGGTTTTTTTTTACAATATTAGATATAATAAGAATTGTATATGTTCAAATATTTCATACCATGCGTTTATATTTTAGCAAATAATAATTACATAATAAATGATACTTCATACGGAGTAAAATTTTTTATATACGTTATATAACTTAAGGAAAATATCATTCTGAAAATTATTTTCTATATTATTCAGCATAATGTATTCACAAAATACATTCAAATTTAGCGTGTAAATATAATCCTCTTAATATACTTATTTATAATAAAATATGTATAAAAATATAAGAAATTTAACAGTTGTATAAAAGATGATGGAATATTTGTTCCCTTCATGGATAATTACAATTTTTCATAATATTAAATATATATATTTTTATTTTTGCTTATTTACTGAATGAATTTCAAATTTTACATGTATCGATTGCCATGTTAGTCTTATGTTGTGTAACGTATATCTTTTTTTCTATTATATATATATATATATATATATATATAAATTTATTTTAAGTAAAAGAAAATTGGATATAAGTAAAAACAAATATAAATATACGGACAAGATAACTAAAATTTTTGGCTTTATAATCGAATGATAATATTGATTATACAATGTATAAAGATCCTTTACGTAAGACAATAATTTTTGTATTCGATGAGTTGAACATGTTTTGTAATATAATAAAAATTATGTATAATAACAAATTTGTATGCGAGAGTTGGAAAATACTAACGTTTTAAAAATAATGATTGCATTTTCATAGTACAATCGAAAATTTTAATAATATCCAGCTGTTTATTATATTGATCGATATCGTTTTTTCATCTTTATATTTGCTTAATTAATATTATTTTTAATATTTGATTTTTCACTTTAAATATAATCAAACATCAATCAAAAAGAATATATAATATGAAAATGATTGGAAAATAATTATAAGTACCGAAAGTATAGAATAATGATGATTACATTATTAATGACTCAGCTGATTAAAATATTATTGAAAAAGAAATTTTGACTTAGACGAATAGTGATGTTAAGTTCTTTAAAATGAAATACTCGAAAAATATTTTACGTAAACACTCTCACGCCATTCCATCAAAGCGATGCATATTTACATGCGAAGGAATAAATTCTCAGTGATAGAAGCAAACATGCAAATATAATTACTCACCCAATGTAGGCATCATCGACAATTAGCATTTGCAATTTAATGAAATTGATTTATGTAGGCGGGGGCGATTTACCGTGGAGCAGGTGCGAGGAGGAATGGAGTACCAAGGAGTGTTTTATGCCGGAAGCAGCATTGGTCTGCTCGAGCCAGAATATGACGTACTTTAAGAGAGAATGTCTGAACTCTAGCCAATTAGCGGCGATCAATTTCTCTGCAGAAAATTTTACAACCGTCATACGGAAGCCTCCCGCTGAAGAGTATTTCAAGTAAGCCATAGTACACACACACACACATTCTCTCTCTCTCCTCCCCTTTCCTCCCCATCTAACCACCATGTAAACCTCGCATCCCTCTCTCTCTCTCTCTCTCTCTCTCTCGCTCTCTCTCTCCCTCTCTCTCGCTCTCTCTCTCTCTCACTCTCGTTCAGGCACACATACACAATTATTTCTGATCGATTGGTCTTATGCAATTTCAGTAATCATGTGTTGCGTCTAAGTCAGGGAATTGAAGAAACTGGTACAATAAGCCCAAAAATGGCTGGCTGCCTTCTACTGGCTTGGATCATTGTTTTTCTTTGTCTAAGCAAAGGAGTACAAAGCTCGGGAAAAGTCGTCTACTTTACCGCTCTTTTCCCTTATGTGGTTTTGGTGAGTTGGCAATTATTATTTTATTATATTTAACGATGGTTTAAATTATCTCCCGGCTTTAATCACTTTCAAGCTCAATCAATAATTCAAATTATCGATTTAAATCGCAAAGGGAGATAATATTAGGAACTTAAAACCTCGTAATACGTATTATCAATCTAAAAAAAAATCATTTCTTCATAATACATAAAAATGTATAAATACTTTTAGCACATTTTTCATCGAAATTCTCGCATCCAAACGTTATTAAAACTCCTGTTAATTTATCATCAAGTTACATAGGTCCTTTAAAAGTAGTTCAAAGCTTTTAATTTGCTCTTCAGGAAGTTTCTTTTTAATTTACTCGACGATCCCCCCCCCCCTATTTTCCTTCTTTTTTTCTTTTTTTCCTTGTCTAAAAAGCGCCCGGTGCATTGTCAAAAATATTTTCGAAAATTAATGGATCTGCGGGAGAGGTGGGGCGCGCGGATATCAATTAAAAATTTCTTATTTTATATTAATTATCGTCATCAAAAGTGATCGAGTAACGTTTATCATTCAATGCTCAGCGGAATAATTTATAAATATCGCAACTCCCTGTCCTACCTCTCGAGGCCAAATTAGCGTGAAATTATGCAAAAGTAAGGATCTTATCCATTTATAACACGTCGACTATGTGGTTAGATCGCCCTGTTCGTGCGCGGCATAATGCTACCAGGCGCCGACGAGGGCATCCTCTTTTACCTGACACCAGACTGGAAGCGACTGGCCTCGGCGAAGGTCTGGGGCGACGCCGCCGTGCAGATCTTCTTTGCATTGAGTCCGGCCTGGGGCGGCCTTATAACTCTCAGCTCTTACAACAAGTTCACCAACAACTGTTACAAGGACTCGTTGATCGTCGCCGTCAGCAATATCGGCACCTCGTTTTTCGCTGGCTTAGTCATATTCTCGGTCATCGGTTTTCTTGCCCACGAGCTCGACGTGCCCGTCGCCTCGGTCGTCGATCAGGGCGCCGGACTCGCTTTCATCGTTTATCCGGAGGTGAGGCCTCACGAGGCACATACCTTTTCCTTACATTGCTATTATTTATATTTTTCAACTCTACTATGAGAGATAAATAGATAGATAGATAAATTGAGTGAGAGAGAGAGAGAGAGAGAGAGAGAGAGAGATGTAACGAACGAAAGATATAATCTACAGTATCGTAACACTAGTTTAAATCGCTTATCCGTGGTTCTTTAGTTGAATATTATGACATTAATGATCTTGCACTTAAGAAAATATGTCGATAGTCAATGAAGATTTAATCGGCTATCAATGATCGTTTATTTATTCGTATTGTTTTTTTTTATTTAATTTAAATTTCAGGATATTAATTGCTTCAGTGGATAATAAAATCTTGGTAGCGTATAAAGCATTTATAAAGTTGACTAGTTGAAATAACGTATATATCTAGATAAATTATTATAATATAATTTAATTGTTAATTTCAGATATGTAATTGTTCAAAAAACAAAACAAAAAAAAATTTACCTTTCTCCCTATAAAATACCGAGTGATAATTATTCTAAAATAAAGACTTCGTATATTTCCGAAGTATGATTAACAAATATCATAAATTCTAGATAAAATTTTTTTATATTCTCTCTGTAATTACAATGACGTGAAGCTCTACTTTAAAGAAATATGGATCAGTACGAATTGTAATAAAATTCAATTTAAAACCATCTTGATAGATACGGCTTTAATATTATATTTGACTGATAGTATTCCTTTAAGAATATTATATTCATTATGTACACGTGCCCGAGTTATATTGATAATTATTATTCATAAAATGAAAGAACTTTAGGTTTTAATAATCGATTATAATCGTTCCTATAATTTATTTTAAAGTAGGTTTAAGGACGTACTTGAGAAATTGCATGATAATAGATCATATTTTTTATAGATCATATAGACATTGTCATATATATGCATCGTAGATAAGAGCTTTGAGCATAAGACGACGATTAACATTATTTAAACGTCGATATTAATTTAGACGATTAATTGACAATCGTCGCTTATTTATTGTGTTCTAAAACGTAGAGGAAAAGTAAAGCGGGAAGATGTTTTTATAAGGTTAATACTCGTTCGAACAGTCGAACGCGCGCTTATTAATTCTCTCGACTAATGAGTCTCTTAGTAATAAAGTATTGGTGAGATGTAACGTAAGGAAAGAGTTTAGGGCTAAAATCTATTGGCCATGCGACTTAATACGCTTGTTGTAATGGACGTGTTATTTAGGTGGTGTCGAGGCTACCCGTGGCGCCGGTTTGGTCTCTCCTCTTCTTCGTCATGTTACTGACTCTCGGCCTGGACTCGCAATTCGCACTCATGGAAACCGTCACCACCGCCATCCTCGACGGCATCCCAGCACTGAGGCATTATAAGCTCTGGATCGTACTTGCCTGCGCGATTTTTGGATACGGCGGTGGTCTTATATTCACCACTAACGTTCGTATTATTATTATTACTGTCGAGGCCTTTCTCACCGCACCGACAAAAGCTAAATGAGAACTTGAGTACATTGATTGCCTATTGGGCAGCTTGATATTTAATATTATTCATAAAGTTTTTGTATTTGACATATCACTCCATTTGTCATCTTATCAGAGTCGGGAGTTACTTTAATAACGAATGGCTTAGGTCGTGTAGCCTACAGAAAGAATATCTTCACTACGACCTTTATCACGCAAGCCAATTGTATGAAAAACTTGTAAAAACACTCCAACTATGAGAATTTAATTTATTATTTAGGTTGAATAATGCATGCATCTTTGATTTATTAGCCTCATTTCATTTTTATTAATTAATGAGTGAATATATATATATATATATATTCGGTTATATATATATATATATATATATATATATATAGAGAGAGAGAGAGAGAGAGAGAGAGAGAGAGAGAGAGAAATTACTAAACCGCGCCAAATGGGTTGTACCGGCAGGCTGGCATGTATTGGCTCCAACTGATGGACAAATATGCAGCGAACTGGTCGGTCTTGCTGATCGCTATAAGCGAGTGTATTCTTGTCGCCTGGGTTTACGGAGCTGACCGTTTCCTGGACGACGTTCAGCAAATGATTGGCGTGCGCAGCCGCTGCTGGAGGTTCTTCTGGACATGGATGTGGAAGGTCGTAACGCCGGCCACCCTCTTTTTCATCCTCTTCTTCAACTGGGTGGAGTACGAGCCGCTGAAGTACGGCACCTACGTCTATCCCAAATGGGCCGACATCGTTGGTTGGGTCGTTGGATTAGTGCCAGTCCTCGTTATCATCGGTCTCGCTATCGTGAGTTCAATCGACATAGTTGTCCCTTTTTCCTTCATTTTTGTCTCTTTTTTTTTGTTTGTTTCTTACTAGCACCATCTTAGCCTAGTGCCCTTTTCCGTAATAGTAATATTTAACGAATAAAAAGGATTTTTTATCGACTGTCCGAGCTCGCATTTATCACACCTCTCAATTTACGGAAGTTAAAATAAGCTTGAAACGCGATTCTTATAAGAGAAAATACTTGTCCCGTAAACACAATATGACCATATTCTGAGAATCATTCAGAGCGTGAAGAGATTCTATTTTATAAAACGAGTACAAAAGCCAATTGATGACTAGGCATTATTCTATCAACTTACAGGTTTTCAAGTAAACAACAGTCTGATATTTATAGTAGATAAATGAATTTATCGTAACGTCAATATTATATTATATGAAAAGCACAGTGATAAATGTGATCAATGCTCGTGTGCAGCTCGTATTATAATTTGAGCATACGAAAAGATGTTAATATTCAATTAAATTGTGGGAGAAATTTCAATTTTTATATTATTTCCATCTCATCGCTCATACGTTACAATAAACTTACAGAAACAATAAAGGAATTAACAATGTAACCTTAGGTTATAAAATGCAAATATAGAGAATTTAAAGAACACGATAAATGACCTTTTATTTAAAAGCGTAAATTTACATATAATTTATGCGCTGCATTTAAACAGGCCATTAAATTATATAATAATCGACGAGAAATTAATTGCAATAACGAATAGAATTCTTCTCGACATCGTTCATAAAAGGCCTTCGATTTTTCATTATTTTCGAATCTATCATGTAAAATGAAAGGAATTTGATTTTCATCGTCGGCTGCAATTAAAACTAAACGATCAAACAACATGGATTTTCATAATGACGAAAGATCGAAGGCTGAAGCGAAGTTAAGAAAAAATCATCGCATTGTCACGTCTGACCGCGTGTCACTTTATGCGGACTAAGTAATTTATCGAAGGAGAGTAACTGTAGCTGTAAGAGCGTAAACCCAACCGGGATCCCGTGCATTAGGAGAGTAAATCATTAGGGCGCCGAGAGCCGGAGCGTCCGCGGCCTCGTTATTCGGACGCGTCGAAGTGAATTCAATTCATAAATCATCTGTGGCGCACACACGCGTTTTTCCCACAGAGCCAGCTGCGGGTCGGGAAGCGCAGGCGCACCGACTACGTCGACGAGGACGAGGACGACGAGCTGCGGGGTACCGGTCGCGACGGCCTCTGGAGCAGGGCGCGCAAGCTCCTGCAGCCGAGCTCCGACTGGGGTCCAGCCTCCCGCACCCCCTTCACGTCCTGCAGGACCCTACCCCACACGCCATCACCAGGTAATCAGTCATCCCATGTGTCCGACCACCTGCGGCTATTCCCCATACGTCATCCATGGCTGGCGTTGCGACGGACGCGCATCAGTGTGCTGAGAGGGGTCGATGAGTTTTTTTTTTATATTGACCGATCGTGCGACTCGGTAACTAATTCATCCACCCCGCTCCTCTATCGCTCTGCCAAGCTTATTTATCTAGGCCGTTTCTTTCGCATGGCTGTGTAATTGATTTTTTGCACGCTCAAATGTTGGCGAATTATGAATGACGAAATTACATGTTTGTTTCAATGGAACTAGAAGTTTGAGAGAACGAGAGAGGCGTTGCTGTGTGTATACGTGAAAATTTCTCTCTCGCAGCCTATTGGTTGTCCTATGTCTTATAGGTATTTGCATTCAAACGAATCCATCATTTTCATATTATTAATTTAACGGACTTTATCCATTCTTTTCGCTCAATAGCTTAAATTAGGATTTTAAAATATCCGAGAGTGTTATAATCATCTGACATAAAACTTCTCTTAAGCTCACCTCGGGAAATACAAATGTACTAACGCATAAAAGTCAGTGGTGTATCGAGGAAAATTATTTTATTACAACATCCCGTCGCTATCTTGGATTAATTATTTATTATTTGCCAACGTTTGACAATATCCTACCTGATGCACTATGTTTTGTTTTGTTTTGTTTTGTTTTTGTTTTTTTTTTTTGTTCAGCACTTATAGAATTGGCTTGTTCAAGTTCCTTATAGGTTTATAAGAAATATTTGTAAAAATTCAATAGAATTACATGATAGTGAAAAAGTATTGTATGATGGGTACACTATCGTTAGAATTATATATTTTTTTTTTTTTTTTTTTTTTTTTTTTTTTTACTCGTTGTACGCTTAACATTTGTTCCTGTAGATTCAATGTACATACAAAAGTCTATATTGCCTTATAGGATTTATAGCACAATTCCTAATTTCTATTTTCAAACCAATTTTCTGCAACACGTACAATTTCTATTTGGACGCGTTTGAAATATTCATCGCAAAGATCGCTTATTTATAAAATGAAACTTTTTCTTTTTCTCCATCACGTGCACTTGTAAATAAATTACGTCCCTCTAGCTTTTTTTTAATTCAATTACTTCTATAAAATCGTTAGAGTTTCTTTTTTCAATATAGGCTATACGACTTTTAACGTAGCTTAATTATATTACCCAAACCTAATACAAAACTGACCTATATTTTTCAAACCGGCTATCTATAACCAATGGCTTTTATACATTAATATGCATTAAAATAGTTGTAAAGTTATTGAAATAATACGTATATTGCATGTTTAATATTGTAAATCTGCTTTAAATGTAATCCAAGTTACTATACCGTACTCTACACATTTATTTACATTTACATATTTTATCATATTTATTTTGATCTCTTCCATATTGTGGAAATGTGTAAATAAGTGCTTGAAAGATTTTGAAATTCAACATTAAAGATAGATATTTAAGGCTTGGAGAACAAATTACAAACACTCTGTGAAATATTTTCCTTAGTTATAACAAATGGGTTAATTTTTTTTTTTTTTTTTTTTTTTTTTTTTTCTAGATTATTTCAAATCTAAAATACGCATTGATGTGAGATAAAATTAATAATACAGTAAAATCTATGGAATCGAATTTTGATTATATGAAAAAGTTTTGTCTATTATATTTTAACCTAAAATTCTTTTTAATCTATCAAAATAAAGAATGTGACATTATTCGTTTATTAGTATAATATTTTGGCATTATAACGAGTATTTATTATAAAGATAAAATATTTCATTTCCTTACTTCTATTATTTATTATACTTTATTCGATTATACAAATTTTTTAATTTTTTTTTTTTTTTTTTTTTTTTTTTTTTTTTGAAGTATTTAAAAATAAATAAATTTTCCACAAAAGTTTTTGATAATGTAGTCAAACTTTAAAAATTTAACATTTCTCAAAAAAATGGATGCGTCAATGAATTTTTTAATTAAAATAATCTTTCATATAAATTTATATCAAATTAGAATAATAGCCCACTGTCTTTGTTATTATCGTCAATCAAAGATTTATATCTCCTTTAGTTTAATCTATTTTAATTATATTCAAATGTGATTTTCAATTCATTGTATTAATGAAATTCTTATTTGCGCTTTCTTCAACTATCCTAATGGATAAGGAAAGTGACGTAAGAATAATACTTATGAGAATATTTATTCAAACGTAACAATTGTATCACACGGTATACTGTACAATATATTTATACAATCTATTTTTTAATTAAACTTTTGAAATTGTATGTTAGAAGATTAGTGGAAGGTACTCGTTTGCAGCTAACTTAGAGTTACTTTTAAATGCATTATTATTTAATTTTTATGTAGTAATTTATTAATGTCAATTCATAGATAGCACTCCAATTATTTTTATAAATCGGAATTCATATATAAAATAAATCATAACGAACAAGAAATTTACCTTCAATTTTTATATTTATCGTGTATGAGAAAGGGCAATTCAATTATTCAAATTGATCGGGGAAAAAAGTATATTACGTTTAAATATTTAATAAAGTAGTCTTTTCAATGAAAGCGGAAAAGTCTTTTATTTTATTATTAAAATTATTATTAAAAAATTAATATTTTGAAGTCCAATCTTTCAATATGTACTTAACTCATTTGATCTATTTAATCTGCAATTCTTTAATAATACAAACATTAATAGTATAAAAAAAAATTCAATTTATTAATTCCATTGAAATTTGATAATACTGATTTTTAAATATAATACAAAAATAGAAAATATGTTTACAAATTTATATAAAATTGAATACTTGCATCTAAAAATACATCTTAAATGCATTAAAGAAATTGAAGAACAAATGTTCACATTTAAACGACTAGGCAGTATTGAAAAAAAAAAAAAAAAAAAAAAAAGAAGAAGTAATGCTTTAATCATTCTTGAAAATATCTTGTAAAGTAAAGTATGGAGCAAAGTAAATAATAATTACGATAGAATAGAAGCTTTTATCGGAAAAGAGAAAATCATTGCTTGAAAGTCAATGTTAAAACGTTAATTAACAACGACATATGCAATATTATTTAAATATGTATTATTGTACAGTGAAGAATGTGATTGATTGATGATTGATCAGAAATTGACTGATGTGAAATTGATTGATGATTGATCAGAAACAAGTCGCTCGAACTCGACTCATGAAGAGCCAATTTAAACAAAATATTATATCAATTAGCCATATGATAAATAGTAATTTTCACAATGTAACAATGCTTAATTGTTTTCGCAATTACGGCTGACTCGACAAATTCTCTTGGAGTCGAATCGACTATTAATTCAAAACGACGAATGTCGGCAAAGCTGGATTATACGTGAAACAAAAGATCGACAGCCGGAGCTTTTCTACTTTCCAACAATGAAAAGTGAGCAAGCGCGCAATTGTGGAAGAGATTAACGATAGATAATAGCACATATGTGTTATACACATACGCACATGTACACACACGTTGTCCGCTCAATGTAATAGAATAATAAAAATATGTGCGAAGTTAAAACGATATCCGCAGGGCCCCAGTGCGGCTACGACGCGATAGTGCGGGACACGATCGTTCTGGTGAATGGGCAGCCGATGACGGTCCAGGGTGCTACGGCCTCGCAGAAGCTGCCTGGGCCCTCGATACTTAAGAACTCGAGCAAGACGGACCTCATCACCTCGCAGCAGGTCTGACGAGAGGCTACCGTCGAGCTCGACTATCCCTCCGATAGTTGTGCCTACTCCACCTTCAAGTTCTGAATATCTGAATTTTCCGCTTTCCGCTCGTCGGTTGCCGAGGCCTTGCGCGCCTGCGCGACTGCCCGCGAGTCTTCCTTCCTATTTCTCTTCCTCTCCACCCACTCTCACGTTCCCCATTTTTTAATCGAAGCATGCAGCGACGTTCTTTTGCGCGCCTCTGCGTGGTCTGCCGCGCGCCCGTATACGTTTGCCTACCTCGGTTCCCCACCCCCACCGACGTCGCCAGTTTGCACGCTAGCTGTGATTTTATTTTCGTTCGTATATTTGGAAAACTTGTGACGCGCGTGAGGGACGCCTGGAATGCGCGACCGTTCGTGGAATAGCTTGATTACGCTTAAAATACGAAGCTTTTCGTTTCAGTTTCGGCGGCGTGCATTCGGTGTCGTATTTTTTCCCCCTCGTCATTTCGCTGCCGAAATGCACGTGTCCAGCGAGTGGGCAAGTAAGTCGCTCGATATTTCCGTTGCAGATGTCATCTGGAAATTGTTTTCTTTTTAAAGGGAATCACTCTTGCCTGAGAGCTAGTCGAATAGAAGAACAGCTCGAGATGGAATGGAAAACGATACTCCCGTAGTATATATATATATATATATATATATATATATATATGTATAACATGTGTATACAGTACCTCAGAAATTTATTATGTACGGCGCCTTTCACATTCGTGAATTTACAATAACCTTGTTGGTTCGTAAAAATTATAAAGCGTTGATTAATGATATTTAGGAAAATCTTATTTTTTTTTTTTTCATTTTATCCAGAAAAATAGATAATTACGAAGGATATTTTTAATTTAATAAAAAAAAAGTACTATATGTGTATTATGTATATGCAGAAAGTAATAAAGATGTTGCTTCCAGCTTTATCAAGTACAAGCACAAGTTAAATAATGGATCGATGCCCGTGCTTACTTACCCAAAAGTATAGCGAAAGGCTTCGATTTATTTATTCAAAATTTTACAACTGCTTTTACTCGTTGAAGTTGGCCGTAATAAGAATTATTTAAAATAAAATAGAAAATATATGGATATTTAACATTATATAACTATGAAAGTTACTTCATTTAATACTTTGTCCAATTGAAAGTTGTAAATAAGAGCTTTAAGGTTTGATAAATAATCCTAGATTCTAACCAATGATTCTAGAACATTCGTAAAAGAATTTATAACATTATTGGATAAACAAAAAATTAAATATTCTTCTGTTTAAAATAATTGTACGTGTTACATTTTTTTTTTATTTTTTTTTTTATTTATTTATTTTTTTTTTTTTGTTCGTTATACAATTAATTATTCAACTTTATCAATTTAACATTAAAGCTTTTTACTATAATTTTTAATAACCAAATAGAACTTTTATTTTCTTTCGCTTAATCAATTGGTATTACAACTAGGGTGTTAAATACTGTAATTATAACAACAAATCCGTGACAATTATCAACGTTTGCTAATACTATATTGAATTATTGTAATGGAAAGAATTAAAAAGAGTTGGACAATTCAATGTTGATAGTCAATTCTAAAAACAAACCTTTAAAAATATATTATTTTTTAAATATACTATTTTTAAATTACTGTTAGTTATACGTAAGCTAAATATCATACACACGCGCGAGCGTGCGCGCGCGCGCGCGCACACACACACACACACACACACACACACACACTAACACACTCTCGCGGCAGACACATGTGTATATATATATATATATATATACGTGCGCGCGCGCATGTGGGTTAATGTGTGCGCATGCGTGCGCATTTATGCACTCATGCGTGTGTGTACGTTTGTATATATTCGTGTATATATAATGTAGGTACACAAAATGTTTAGATATATGTTCTCGAAAATGCAATGTACGAACCGCGAAACAGTTCGTTCGCACATATTATAATCTTTATAATTTAAAATATAATGTGCATTAAATTTATGTAGGGTACTTAATTTTCATTTCCGTTTCTTTGAATGTAATTTTGAGATGAATAATCGGCCAGGATGGATAAGTATTTTACTCGTGCAAATTATATAAATCATCTCATCTATCAAATTTTATGCTATACGAGTATTATTTATCTTCATGTTTTTCCTCATTCCTCGGTAAATAATAATAAATTGTTCGGATAGCATCGCGAAAAACTTTAATGCGTAAATGATTGTCCGTCAATATTTGCCTTTCCTATTTTACAAGTAGTGATTTAATAAATTTTTTTTAATAATACCGATCTCATTAAGAAATTAAAAAATCTTTAGGTAATAGATAAGAGTTCCTAAGATAATTTGAAATCTATTTTCTTAGTTCTTATAATCAATTGCAAAGAGATAAATATTTATTTTTAGAGAAAGAAAGTTACATCAGGAAATATTCTCATTATAAGAGAATTAATATTAATACGTGTGACAAAAAAACAAAACCTACATCAATGCGATCATGTTTCACATTTTATAATAGAAAGAGCTCCACTATCAAATTAGTTTATATAATGGAATATACGAATACAGAATATTTTTGCTCAATAATTCTCAAAAGAAGATGATAAATGTATTATTTCAGCACGAGTGTAAATAACTCAACTCATAAAAGTTCGACGACTGATACATTTCAGAAATAAGTAATACAATATTTATAATTCCATCATTATTACATTATCAATTCTTTCATTCGATTAAGAATATTTTGAAGATAAAATATTTCTATCGTTCAATGATAACAATGGTTTGTAACGATAGTTTGTATTAAACATCAAAAGATTATTATAAATATGTTTTTTTAATTAAGGTTTTAGAAGCTTGTTTTAAAAATTGTTAAATTACGTACGAAAATAGATAATTATCTTATAGTTATTTCATATAAAATAATAATTAGAATATAAGTTTGCATTAAGTACTGAAAATTCCTTGTTTAAAATAACGAAAATATTTAACATTATAGTTAATGATTCAATATATGATTAAATATATTAATTAGTTTTACATATTAATGATTAGTACACGAGTACAATTGTTATATATTAGTATTGTTGAATTCATGTCCAAACATTTGCTTAACAGATAAAAATATAAAGTTATTTTAAATTTTATACCGATTTCAAGTGAATCAAAGTAATATTGTATACTTATTATTTTTAAATGATTAATATTTCAGAAACAAGAGAAATTATAATTTCATAACAATGCTATATATTTTTTAGTTTTTGCGTATAATTTATCGATTAATAATAACGTTAAATTATAATTTAAGCAATTTTTTTTTATTATACATCTTCGGTGCAAAACACTTACATTATAGTCATTTAAATAGAACGTAAAGTCAAAAATTTCCATGAACAAACATTTATAATTTTATTTGCAATACGAATTTTTAGTTTTCGTTCTATTATGTTTGTACTATATATTAACAATGGCATAAAAACCAATTGACAATGTCAAAATTAACAATGATTATTTAATTGTTTAATCCAAATGTTTTATTATTTATTTTTATTTTATTTTATTTATAGAGTACGAAGTTTAATTAAGATAATACTTATTTCTGATAAAGTAGATGCAAACCAAATTAGAATATACATGTATTCGTGAAAAGTTATCATAGGACATGATGCTTTTCACATACATTAGGAAAAAGAAAATCGAGATGAGAGAAAGATAGGAAGAAAAAAAACCCAGTGAGAAGCATTGTAGGTCTTATTATTCATACGAAAAGAAAACAAAATAATAGAAAAAAAACTATGTGATGCAATAATTGGATAAGTTAAGGTGAAAGAAACATAAGTTATATGAAATTTTATTACTTTGCAAGATATGCACATATATATAAAAATTTATTTGTTGCACAAATAAATGTATGTAGATATATACGCTAATATAATAATTTTGGCTAAAGATATTTTTGCGTAAGAGCATAGTAGTATTGTTTCCCGATCAAATATCTAAATACAAGTGTAAGACGAGTGACTGATCTAGTTAGCACATTAAAATGAATTATATGTTCTGCGCAGATACTGATGCAGTATTATATTACTTACTATAGCTAATATATATTAAAACAAAAAAAAAACAAAAAAAAACAAAACAAAAAACAAAAAAAAAGAAAGAAAGAAAGAAAGAATGAAAGAAAAAAAATAAAAAAACTAAAATAAAAAAAGTATCGAAATAAGGCGAAATATAGTAGGAAGTATATAAAATGCAACTTACTATACTTATATGGTGCTTAAGGCAAATAATAAATATGAATAAATAAACATTACGTGGTTACACGCTAAGAAGTATATAAATAATTTTTTGTGGAGTCCACTCAGAAGATATTTGGCATTTCAGGCAAACGTCACATATATACGCATAATGAACAAAGAAAGCAAACTAAACTAATGTGTACGTCATTTGTTGTTAATTAGACGTTCACGTTTATGGGTATAAGGAAATAAAGAAAAAAATATATTGAAAATAACAAAGGGAGAGAGAGAGAGAGAGAGAGAGAGAGAGAGAGAGAATATGAATAAACATTCAATTTTAGTAAGTTGTTAAGATATACCATTTATTAAGATATAATAATATAATGACTTACTCTGCGTCGACAGATTGTATATTGTTGTTTTTGGGCGAATTTTTTTAAAAACAAAGGCAAGAAAAAGGGAGGCAAAAAAGACATAATTAAATGAATAAAAATAACAAATTTCGAGGGCGTGGCTATAAGTGTTCTGAGCTTACAAGGAGCTACCAAAATATAGAGCAGACAGTACAAAGTAATGTATCCTAAATACTGTACGAGAGAGAGAGAGAGAGAGAGAGAGAGAGAGAGAGAAAAAGGTTTGCGGAAAGTAATCTTAAGTTTAACGATAAAATGCCTGATCCAATATCGTTTTCGCAGCACAATAATGATGATCCCAAGAGGTTTTAATTCATAAATGAAATATTACTGTCTAGATTCTTTGGAGCGAGACGTAATTTAAAATAGAAGAAATTTTCAGACAATGCGAATTTTTTACCTAATCAAACCAAACAAATATCTACGATAAATTCAATTGGCAATATTTACACTTTATTTTAGTTAAACTTTTACTCCAAAAAATATAGAAAGTACGTGTATATATATATATATATATATATATATATGTATATTTATGAGTCTGATAAATTATTTTTGTATGAATGATTTGGGTGAAAAATGATTGCGAAAGTGAACAGACGAATGAGTAAAATAAAAATTGCAGTTTTAAAATTTTGAAAAGTAACGTACGGTAAATTATTGATTAAAAGTGTTCGTCGGTAAAAAAATATCGCTTCTGATATAAGTAAGCACATGAACATTTCCTGATTAATACACGCAACAATAAATTAAATGAGAAAGTGATGTTCTAGTAGTTGATTAAGTAGGTGATTAAGCGGTAGGTTCGAGTAAGTCAAATTTATCTTGGTTGCAACACCTTCATAGAATCTGTCTCATACGTATGAAGTACAATTATTTATTTTTCATGTGCAGTGAAGCGGAGCAAGAATGTAGCAAAACATTTAACGGAATGGAATATATTTTTACGTAGTAACCTAAACACAGAGGTGAAAAGAAATTGGATATCATATTGAGACTTATAAATAGCGTATCGAGTATTATTTTGGTTTATCTACTAACATTTTATTTATTATTCTTTCCATTTTATTTGAATATGTAATAACATGATATTTCTCACGTTGCCACTTCAACACTCATGGCATAATCGAGTATATATTTTAAAATGTTTTATTTATTTTTAGTTAAATAAAAAAATTTAACTATTTCCTAATGTTTAGCAAATTAGTTTTTCCTATTCTATTATGCTCATCATTTATTTCAACTTATTATTTAACAATTAACAGTTGTAAAAAAAAAAATAATAAATGAGTCAGAGCGTTCGTAATCAGCTTTGAAGTGCTTAACTATGCAATTATTATTACTATATATATATAGTATATTTTCGCATATTTTACTCATAATTTAATATCTGCAATGTACTTATTACAGAAACATCAAATATAATTGAGGAGTAGCCAATCATGTTACGTCATTTATTAAATTCAGATTAACGTAAACTTGCTTTAAAATATTAATAAGGTAAATAAGTAATCATTATTTGAAATATTTATAACAATGCTTTCGAACAATATTCAATGAATAAAATGTGCATAAAAAACTATTAAATATACATACATATATATATATATATATATATATATATATATATATATATAAATATAATATAGAAGCTTAAAAGAGCGCAAATTTTTTTGTTTAAATACAACTGTTAATAACATATTTTACAAATTATTTTTTATTGAAATTATTCAAATTGAATCATTCGGAATTCCCTTTTAATTTTTAAAAAATGAAGTAGGTGTTATTTATAAATTTCAATTTAATAAATTTTACCTTTATTTATTAATAGTCTATTAGTGAAACCATGCATATGATATTTTCAATATGGTTTTTTTTTGTTATCGCGCTACTACAATATAATTTTTAAACATCTTTGAAATTTTGAATGTCGTCTGTACCGATATAAAATAAATTATTTCTACTGTCTGCATATATGTTTTTATGTTTTACATTTCAGTTTACTGATAGATGTTGCAACCGTTATTAAACATAATGTTGTCCAATTTAATTTATATTTGTTCTACTGATATTATTCGCAATAATTGTTATGTTTGAAAGAGTGAATTAGATATTATTCGTTAAATTTTTCAAATTTTGCATAAGATTTATCAAAATTCTACTCAAATCAAATGTATATTTTCGATTTTCTTTCGTTAAATATGAACTGTTGAAAATAATAAATTTTACAAAGTTTTTGTTAAAAAGATATTTATCATGTCGACAAAATAGTATTAATAAAGTTATTTTTAATAAAAATTAGCTTTTCCAATAAAAAGTGCATGTTTTCAATTACATATATAATGAATGTGTGCTGCTATATTACAGTGATTACATCTCGATTTCCTACATTTACAGGCTCTAATTGTGTGTGCGTACGTTGCAGTTGAAAATATTTTAAAATCATTTTAAAATAATTTTATCTATTATTTATTAGATATACTAATAGAATAAGGGCGAGTCTAAAGTATAACGTATATTCATTAAGAATATTTTAGTTATATGGAAAGAAAAAACTGATTATTAACACTTACCCTACTATAATGATCAATATAAATAAATTATATGTACCAGATAAAGAGCAATATTAGTAAGCAAAACATTGTATAGTATTATATACTTGAAGCATTAATTTAATTGAATAATTATTCAGTTCACTTATAATTAAAGTACTTCATTTAATCCAACGACAATAACGTCAATTTTTTTATGTGTGTTCGTATGAATATATTTATTTATTTATTTATTTATTTTTCTATTAATGACTACTACATAGGTTATTAAATTAATGCTTTTAATAGTAATATGTTTATATAGAATTTTAATTTAAAAAAAGACCATAGAATAAAAAAAGAAAATATAATATTTAATTTAAATAGAAATTTTATTGTACACATAGCATTTTACATATAAAAATAGATGCAGTTCCATATATGTTTTTTCATTGAATTAAACAAACATATATATATATATATATATATATATATATATATATATATATATATTCACGTTGTTGCATAATATTAAGGTAAAAACATAATTTTGTTGCGATAAGAAAAGTATTCTTGTAAAACGGCTGACTGTATTACAAAAGAAAATAAAACAGATGTATTTAATATAATTTAATATATTGACAGAGTTGTAACGTATTATTATGAAAAACATATTGTATTATGAAAGAAAATATATACATTATATTCTGTGTACATGTATATGATGCGTGTAAGATTAATAAAGTGTTGATATATGGTTGATGATAAATAATAACATTTATATTTTAATCATCCTTTTATTTCAAAAATAATAGCTCACATTTATTTGCTAGCTGTAATATATTCAATAAATATCCCTTATAAATTTCTAAATATTTGTATGTATAGTCATATATATATATATATATATATATATATATATGCGATTATAAGTATATTCATACAAATATGTATATAAAAACATAATGAATTAATCTATGTTATGTCATTAACTCAAAATAATAATTAAAACGCATGATTCAAATTAAGTGATACTGTCAGTACTTTTTAGTTTATATATAAGTATGTATGTATGTATGTATGTGTGTATAGATGCGTAAGTGTGCACGCACATCATTATTTATTAAACAAAATTATTTTTTTACTTAGTATGTAGTGGCAATAATACTCTGACATGCATTATTGAATACATTGTGGTATTATATAATGTAGGCGATAACGTTCTTTTACGACACTACGGACTTCATCGTAAGTATTATTTAGTATATCATTGATGTGTTAAAATGAATAGGAAAACAAATTGAGAAATACGATAAAGTACGTATTGCAGCATTTAATTTCTTAATTAAAGTTTGGCTAATCATTCGTCTTCGTTTAATGGACATTTGAAAAGTCATTATCCGATACCTTTCGTTAACAATTATAAATACGTATGTAGAGTATACCGCTAATTCGATTATTAATAAACTCGGCTACATACATTAAAAAAAAAAAAAAAAATAAAATAAAAGCTTATATTATAAAGTAAATATACTGGCAATTAATTCTTATGATCAAAGATCTAGCTATCGCGAATGTAAATTTAAATTATCAAAAATAAAAAAACATTTATCGCATCATTGCCCCGTTTCGATATTTCACCACATTAATATTAATTACTCTTACAATAAGACAATACTCACACCCAACAGCCGCATAATGAAATGATATATCGATATATCGATTCAAGCTTGCGCGCCGATTATTCTACGACAACATATTGCATTAACGATGTGGCAAATAATGTTAGAAAAGAACAAAGCATTGCTTAATACGTATCTTTGGAAACACATGAAGGATGATGCAGCGTTTGCGTGCTTGCGCATCTTTATTTTTATCATTTCCTTTCGTTTCTGCCTTCCTCTCTCGCTCGCTCGCTCGCTTACCCACATGCGCGCACAATCGAGCCCGCGCACCCACCCGTAACGACGCCCTATGAAAATTTCTCGACGACCTACGAGCGAGGAGATATTAGTGCGAGTATCCGACTCCCACGGTCGGAGTGATAATCCTGCGTCGTCTGACATTATGAAAGAGACTTCGTCGAGATTGGGCGCGCATAAAGGTAAAAAAATATTTCGCAAGGCAAGGAAATTAGCGCGAGAGTCGGGGGATGGGAGAGAGGTAAAGGAAGCGGAGCCACGGCACTCTCATCGAACGGTGTCGGTCATAGCGACCGGTGCCGAGGGCGGCGGCTGGCCGAGAACGCGACTCCTGGAGATGGCCCCGATAATCGGCTTCACCAGCACGACAAAGCCCGCGATGACGAGGGAGGCAAAGACGAGACCGCGCCCGGTCTCCGAGGCACCGATGTTGGTCCACCAGGCGCGGTACGTCCCATTGATGACAGTGGCCAACAGCAGGACCGTCAAGCCGATGCCGGCGAACGCGTGCGTAACTTTGATGAGGACGGGCCGCACTTGGGGGTAGAACCATCGAGCGTTGTTAGCGAGAATGCCGAAAGCCCCGATGAGGAAGACGATGACGATGGTGGCGAGCCCGAGTTGACCGTGGCTCGTTCCAAAGTGCGGATGTCCGTGTCGCTCCTTGTTTACGACGATGATCGCGAGTCCGGCGACCAAGAGGCACATGCCCACCAAATGCAGGATCCAGTGGAGAGTCACGCGACCCGGCCGTGAGAGTTTCTTCGAAACGTTGGCCTCGCCGGAGATGGAGAAAACGGCTTCGATAGCCAGGAGGCCGGCCTGAAACATTTCGTTTTCTCCTTAGTTTTTGGCAATTTTCCTTTCGACTCGTCTGGCGTTTCTTCGCTCGACGACGGCTCTCCTCGATCATAAAAACGATTTTACGTCTAAATTAGGATTAAAGATTGTAGGATATTGTTGTTGTTGTTATGCTGTCCTTAAAGAAGGGCATGATCGGAGCCGCATAGAGCACGAGTAATCCAAGCTAAAAGTAAAGCTGAAATAATGTCGATAAAGCATATGGACAAACATCTGTAAAAACGATGGCTTACATATTATCAATACGTCACGCTATGGGCTTTTCTTTTCTTTTCTTTTTCCTTTTTTTTTCTTCTTCTTTTCAATCCATCGATTCCCAGAAACCATAAGTCTCACATAGCAAGAACTCCGGGGTACAAGCAGTAATAAAGAGCTAATAATTGTTATAGTGCAGGCGTTGCTAAATTCGCTGAGTCGAGGTAGGAAATTTATTAAAAACGAACGGAGTCAGTTTTAACGTTTCAATGACCTCATTTTTTACTTCATTAAAGGCAATTTCCAACAATTGTTCTTAATGTCGCATATATGCGAGCTCGTTGTGTCTTCGAACGTACAGATTCGCTATTATTTTAATCATCTCCTTACTCACGATTTTTTTCATTTCACGCGTTTCACGTAATTCTTCAAAATTCATTCTCTCTATTGAAAAGAATGACGAGAGCATCACCATTGATGTATTAATAGATAGGGGTAACGAAATTTATTTCACATCACGTTCATCAAGAGGAATTTGTTAAACAAATGTATTAAATGATAAATTCCCGTATGAATTACGACATTCTTGAAGAAATGTGACAGGAATGTTAAAATATTTAACGTTTTGAAAACAATGATTTTTCATAACAATGTTTAATCGTGAATTTTCTATGCCTTGATTAATATATAAATATTTCAAACATTCGATCGGCCATTTCATTTACAAATATACGTTTCGCACGATCTTGGAAGATTCGCGATCGTTTCGCAAGGGATTTATATTTTTCATCAATGGTCTTTGGGACGTTGGTATTTGTGTGAATTTTAACTTAAAGCTTAGTTCTAACGTATCCTCTAAATATATCGATAATGTAAATTGGAATTGCAAAATTCATAATTCAAGAGAATTTAATGGAATGTAAGACGGAGGTGTCGCATTGTTGAATGGTCAATGCGACCGAGAGACTATTAATACTACTTTGAAATCAATATCAATTGGGTCGGATCTATTATTATATTTAAAATTTAGACTATGCAATAAATAAATGATCTTCACATTTTTATTATTTTATTAAGATTATCCGAATCTCTCCTATTTGCAATATAGGCTCATGTAATGTGTTTAGGTTTAACATGTTTAAGGCAAAACGTTTTGACAATTGAAACTGTTAACTCACTACGAATTGCCCTACAAATGTCAAAATAAATAATGGATTGGACGTCGTCACGACAAATCGATGATGATGATGAAAAGTTTGACAAAAAAATGAAGGATATATTTCTTCCTTTCCAACCTCTCTTCTCTTTCTCACCTTCTTCCCATTTCTCCTCAACTCATCAGCATTCTTCTAATTAAATGTCAGTTGATATTCAAGATCCATTGCAACGAGCAAAAAAGCCTTGATTACAATATCGTCCGGTTGTAGGCTTATGGATAACGAAGTTGCTTGGGCTCGTCGTTAACGACCTCGTAAATAATCCAAGGTGTTTCCCGACGAGCCGCGGCACAACGTCGGTACATGCAATACGCAGAAATGAAAAATCTAGCCGGCAAGACGTAGCTGCCGCTAAGTATCACACGCGTACACAACACACGCAACGCGACAGGTAATAAAGCACTCACTCCAAGGGCCATGCAGATCGGATGCCAGGAGAAGAAGCTGTAGTTCTCGATGCCGAGGCCGACGATATAGAGGACCGGGAAGAGCAGTAGAATGTGCACCAAGGCGCTGGCTGCATGGGCCAGGGCCCCGGGCTGCGGCTTCTCGACCCCGTGCTCGGGCTTCATGGTCCGGATGGGACGACGGCGACTTGCCAACTATGTTCCTTCGGACCCTGCAGCAGCGAATGCCGGCGGTTATCTCGGCGCATCAACGCGTAGTCCGACCGAGTCCTCTCCCCCTCCAATCACACACCCCCCTCCCTCCCATATCCCCCGCCCACCTCTCTACGGTCACCGGCGAGTTACGTAATCGCGGTGATTCAGCGCGCGCCTCGGCGCTATGCCTCTGGCGACGCCCGAGAGCCGCGCATTGCTGCACGTGCGGGACCCGGGATTCCCTTTTTCGCGCTTTCGGCCCATAGCCGCGCAATTTGTCATTGACGCGAGAGCCTCGGCGTTAATATTAATCGGACTCTTCCTATTCTATGCCGCTCGGGCTAACGTCACTCCCGTCGCACGTTGCATCCTTTATCCGAAGATTCGCCTTACGTAAAGACGCTGCCGATCGTAGATTTGCCGAGCGGCAATTATGAATATGCAAACTCGAGATGCTTAGGTGCTTAGGTGCTTGGCTGATGTCTCGTATAAATAACGGTAGAGGCTGTCGTCGAGACGCGCAAAATACCCTCGTCGTCCTCGTCGTCTCATCGGCGAATCGGTCCCGGGGCCGTTAACGCGACGCGAGTTCTCATATTTCTTTTCGACGAGTGTCATTAAAGTCGAAAAAAGTCGACATTCTAATCAGCGCCAAAGCCGTCGCTTCAATGCCATGCGATTAACGAGTCCCGATGACGCGTCGATCATCACTAGAACTACGACGATGGATCTTTACGACGCACATTATGGTATCGTTTCGATAGATCATGAGCACGCAGCGACGAGGAAACAAAGAGAAAATAAGAAAATGAGGGCTCCCTCATAGATACCTACGTACTGAGGGTCGATGATAAAGTATAGAGGGGCGCGTTTGAGAGTGGCGCTCTTGACAGGATCGAGGGATCGAGATGAATCCAGAGAGTGTGAGTGTGAGGGTATGGGGGTTGAGAGATATTTAGGACCGTGTGTATGTGACGTTGTCTCGGAGGACGGGAGGATGAGGAGGAGAAATAGTCGAGGAAGGAGGAGGCGCAGAAAGCCAAGGCGCTGGTCAAGCGAGAAGAAGGCGTACGTCGAGCGTAGGAATTCGCGGGACAACTGTCGGCGAGTCGGACGCGCGCGCGCGGCCTTGGCGTTGACTCTCCCACCACTCGCGGAAAAGCCGAGAAAATCCCCAGGCCTGCCTTTCGCTCTTTAAGCGGAGGAGCCGCGGCTGGTGTCGGCTTCGTGGATTCTGATGAAGCTGGATAAGCGCAGTTTATAAACGGTCCATGGTATTTGCGTGCCCCAGCATCAAGGCTTATTCGGATCAAGGCTCACGAGGAGACGGGCGAAGGAGCGAGTCTCGCGGTGTTGGAGGAGGCCGATGGAATCTCGAGCGGCCTATTATCTCCCTCGAATATACGAAATTAGTCACGTAATTGGTGGATGTGACTCTCGCGATTTATCGCGCGCTACGCTCCACTCACTTTTGACGCTTTTTATTTTCGCAGATAAGAAATAATTTAATGACCTCTCGCGCAGCACTTTGCTTTTATATAATTATTACGTTCAAACAATTCACTCCCCCCCCCCCCACCCATTCA